TTTCATTGATGATTGTGTTTAGATCTATCAGCGGACTTTGATAGCACTGACCATGAGGTTTGCTGACTCACCTGTGGACCTAAGTTGGGGTGGATGGGATTGTACTTGTGTGGTTCCATTCTTCCCTCTCAGAGAGATCCCAGAGGATGGTACAGGGCAATTGATCATCAGCCCCGAGGGTTCTCTCTCATGCGGAAGTCCACAAGGTTTCATTCTGTCATCCTTCCTCTCAACATGCATGTGAGGCCACTGGGGGGAGATAATGAGACAATTTGGGCTGCAATGCCATCAGTCTTAGATGACATACAGCCCTACATCTCTGTTTTGTCAAACAAGGATGGTGCAATCTTTTGCACTTCCAGTGTCTGGCTGAAATAGGGGGTGATTGAAGTTCTATCCAGAGAAGATAGGTGTTATACTGGACAAATAAATGGAAGCATTTAGAAGATTGTAGTTTCCCTCGTTATTGTAGGTTCTGCTCAACTTTGTCAGTGAGATTTGCAGTCTCAGGGTTCTTCCAGTTTCCTGAGTGATCCTGTGTTTCCAGTGACCAGGATTGTCATTTCTCTTTTGTGCTTGGCTAGATAGTGACAACAGTTTCTACCTGATGCAAACCTTGTCACAGTTATCCAGATCTTTGTGTCCGCCAGTCTGGATTATTGCAATCCATTCTATATGGGGCTACTACTGAGGACAAGTCAGAAACTAAAGTAAGTGCAGAATGCTGCTGAATGCTTATTAGATGGTCATAGCAATAATGGAGCATATTACGGCAGCCATAGGCTTCAATGTGCAATTCAACGTATTATTTTAATTTAGAGGTGCTGTATGGTTATGGTTCTTGCTATATAAGAGCTTCCCTGACTTCCTACAGGGCCTGAATCTAGTTGTACTGAAGTCAGTGAGCTAGCTGAGATCTTTTGCAATCAGCTCTTAGATTTGAAAGTCTGGTCACTCAGGGTTTATCATTCTCGATCATGGTTCTGAGTTCATGCCCAGCTTGTCCAGTGGAGCTCAGGTTTCTTGTCCCTCAGGGTACAGTATAAGGGAGTGATTGCAAGAAGTGTAATGAGCGTTCTTTTGGGGCAGGATGTACACGCAACAACTTATGTTCGAAAATATTGACCATATACCTGCATACAGTGTAAATCTCAAAACAAATAAACAAAAATAATTATACAACAGAGCCTTTTGAAAACTGACGAGTCAAATTTGATGAAGTTATGTCTAAATATTTTTTATGTATATTTGTGAATGCTGAGTTAAAATTATCTGCAAAATATTGACTGTAAAATATTTAATACATTTTAGAGGAGAATAAGGTTATATTGCACTTTTCATAAAAAAAATATGGCATGGCCTTGGATCATACTGAGTAGAGTATTAGTACTAATCTCGTATACATTGTTTCCACTGTGTTAGCAAAATTGACAAATGATAAATGATATGCTTTCAGATTGTGCTAGCTAATACAACATGAAAATGCATTTCCTGTTGCAGGGACCAGAGCTGTCTCAACTCCAACTCCAATCAGCTGAGGGTGCCAACACTCTGCTGGAGTGAGTTCCCAGACCTACAGTAAATGAACAGCTATCCTAACTTTGATCTGGGGTTGTTGACCTAAACTTAATTGTGGGACATTCCAATACTCTGACCAAGTGTTGGTATTACCCTTACATTTAATGTAAATAACTGCAAACGCAAACATTTAAAAATATCCTCATTTATAGACAGGACTTACTTGATGTAACATCAGAAGAGAAAGAATGAGTGAGTATTAGGAGGACTTGCATTTTTGGAAATACAGTAACATTTTTTTCCCTTGACATTTTTAAGAAGAGCCAAGAATTACATTTTTTATAGTTTCTGCCTTCCTTTGGTAAGAGGAAAGCTAGTATGAAAAAGAGAACTGACAAAGAGATAATTTTTAAACGCAAGATTAAATTTATCTGTGTAGAAAGCATCAAAAATAAATCAGAACTGGAATTTAGGACCTGATCCTGCAATGAGCACACAGATAGGCAGGACCTCTAGCCCATTGAAGTCACATTCATATGTATGGGCTTGCAGGATCAGGACCTTACTGTGAAATAGTTCTCAAGGAGGCCATAATCAACTAGACAATTTAAAATGTGTTTCTCTATTCTCTTGTTTATACTTCTCAATGAATTCAAATTAAAAGCAAGATACCTCTGTGTCATTGTTCATTGTCATTGTTAAACTGCAATCAAAAGTCAAAATAGAGATCATGTTTTAAATGTTTTATTGTTTGAAAATTATTTGAAAAATGTCAGGTCAATCAAATAAAAATCTTCATTTCCATTGTTTTGCTCTATTTGTTACACTTTTGGCTTTTCACATCTTTAACAGCATAAGGTTTTCTTTTTACATTTCCTGCCATAGCAAAATATCCCTCTAAATATAAGCAGTAAAACAATTTTAAAGAGGGCATTGCATTAGAATTCAGCTCTCACTGAATACACACACACACACAAAAAGAATACAAAAAAGGCCAGGACAGTCCTTCCTTATGGAGGTCAGGGATTGGGGGATGAGAAGAGCTTCCAATTTTCCATCTGCCTATCTGCAGAATGCAGATGCATCAAGATTGGGAAAATGTTCCATTTATGAACTGTCACAGCTGTCCCTCAGCTGCCATTCTGTTATTCCCAGCCAACTACAAGAACTCTAGGGTTATGCTAATACAAAATATAATATCATTCAGGTTGCATCATCATTTTGTGTTTTTATAAAGTTTATTGGGATACATTTTCTGGATCTCCAGATTTGATTTACCAACCATCCCTACATTTTTTATTCATCTGCAGCTGACGAACATGCTCTTCAACTTTAAAATCTTTTGAACTTGCAGACCCTGAAAAAAAAATCACTGTGCTGGGAATTACTTTGGTCTTCATCCAAAAGTGTTATAAAGCCCAGACCATATTATCAAAGCTTTTTAAAAATTAAACTATCAGGATATTTTCTGAACAGTAATAATGTTAATATAATTCATTTCATTCCTCTTTATAATTTTTCAAATAACAGTGAGGAAGAGAGTTTAATAAAAAAGAATTTGGCCATATCTGAAAAAACGATATGATGAAGAAAAAGGCCTGGAAGGGTAGAAGAAGGATTGTAAAATTCAGAACCTGAAATTGTTGTACCAGTTTTAATTTTCATGGCTTTGAACATAACCATTAAAAAAAAGGAAAAGAAGATTTCTACATGTTCTGACTTGCATATTTCATGTTCACAACACTTCCGTAAAAATAACCTTGTTTCTGGAAGGCTGTTTCATTTATGGTACAAATTAGCTACATTATGTACACTCTGTGTTTGACTATGTGTGAAACTAAATAATGGGTGAATGATGACCAGCATTTTTCCAAACCTCATGTGAAAGAGAGGTATTCTAAATCCTAGTGTGTGAAATTTATCCTTGTGTAAAAGGCTCTCTTCAAGTAAACCTCATGTTAGCAATAAAATTAAAGCCAGAGTTCTTGGGCTTTACATGGGAGCAGTACAAGCAGGGCATGGAGCTGGTGTATAAGACTGCCGCACAGCTGCCTTTCAGTCTGTGATCTGAAATAGCAGTTGCAGCCCCTCCATACCATTTACATAGGGCCTGGAGCTGTTAGTTCCATGGCCACTTCCCTAGCACACACTTATGGTTGCCCTGCTCACTGAAGTATGCGTGGCTGGCACAGATAGGAAGTACAATCCCTTTCTGCACGTGGTGCTATCATAAAATCATGTTCTGTATGGTCTTGCAGTGGTCTTCTGCTCTAGGATGATTTTCACTCTAAAGACATACATGGTGCAGAAGTACCTGGGTTATTTGCCCCCAAAGAGATTAAATGCACAGCTCCCTTATTCAATAGTACCTGATAATTTCCAGTGGGCACTAAAATTAAGGGAGATGGTATCAAATGGAAACAATTCAAATAATTATATTTTGAAAGAATAATAATGAAACAAAGTCTATAAATTACCAAAATAAGAACCATCAATATATTATGTTAAACATTACTATTTTTCAAGATCAACATTCTCTTTTCTAGCTTGATGTAGATTAGAAAACTCTCAAGCTTTACAAAAACAAAGATATGTAATGAGGCTAAAACTATGACACACTGAAACAATTACATCAACAATAATTACACTGGTAATTGTTTAAAATGGCTTCGGTTTCTTAGACTGCTTACTCACTGTCCTCTAAGTGTCAACATAATGGTACAATCAGGGAGCAGGTCATTTGCTTAGAGAAGCAATTATAAAATGCAAATGATTGAGCATTTATTGTCAAGATTGTCATAGAAAACAAAGGTCTGCTTCACAACATGTCTCCAAATAGATGACATAATTGCGTGTTTGTATGATAAACAATAAGGAAATGATACCAACTGTTGGGTTTTGAAAAGACTAATGAAAGAAGAGAGGTGGACATTTTGACACATAATTTCTATTAAAAATTGGCAATTAAATTTCCTTCTAAAAAATACAATACACCATCTTGTGGTTGCTTTAGGGTGACCAGATAGCAAGTGTGAAAAATCAGGATGGGCGTGTAGGGGGATAATAAGGTCCTCTATAAGATAAACCTCCTAACATCCGGATAGTCTCGATAATATCGGGACATCTGATCAGTCTATGTTGCTCTGAAGGAATGCAGCTTAGAGATCTTGGAAACTTCAGGGTCCACTTATCCTGCTCCATCACTTGGACTGGAATTTTAACCCTCTGCTATAAGGAAAGGCAATAGTATATTGCCACAGATCCAAGGATAGAACTCCCATTGGGTTCAAAAGGGAGCTAGATAGATTCATGGAAAATAGGTCCATCAATGGCTATTAGCCTGGATGGGCAGGAATGGTGTCCCTAGCCTCTGTTTGCCAGAAGCTGGGATTGGGTGACAGAGCATGGATCACTTGATGATAACCTGTCTGTTCATTCCCTTTAGGGCACCTGCCATTGGCCACTGTCAGATGACAGGATACTGGGCTTGATGGACCTTTGGTCTGACCCAGTATGGCTGTTCTTATGTGGGGAAGTCAGTGGAAGTTTTGCTAGCCTGGGTTTTGTACTTTGCCCTTAAGATTTCACAAAATAAAGTACAGACTATCAAGTGAATCAAATGTTTGTTCAATTTTTACATTAGATCAGAATTTAAAATAATTAGTAAAATCATTGTTACTTTTCTGTGGTTCATGGAAGGCTAAACGCTGCTCCATCGTACCCTGTGCAGCTCATTAAAATAGTTGGAATTGTTGAACAGGTTTCCAGAGGTTAAAAAAATGTAGCTTATCGCAAAGTTCAACTCAACCTGCTTTTTCAGTCTCTGTTACAAACATTTTCAGGGACCACATACTGCCTCATTCAGTATTCAGAACTCCTTCTTACTTCAGTGGAATCTGCAACTGCAAAAGAAGGGCAACTCACCCTATGTGACCTACATATATATTCACTGCTACGCATTTTCACTTAGGGTCCAATCCTCCAAAATTATGGGTACCCTCAACTCTCATTGTTAGAGTGCTGTGAACTAAACAAGCTAGACTTAAACCATCTGAACTCAACTGTGCAGAGTTGAGCCCTACAGTCTTAACTGTATAGAGCTCTTCTAAATCGGTCTTTCTTGTTATAGGCAAGTAAGTTATGGAACACAATAAGATGCAGATTTATTTATTTTTCACTATTCTAATACTCAGCTATAAAATAAATCATAAACTTACTACTTGATGGTATCATATCAATATCAGTAATATTCTGTTGTTTTTCAGATATGGTCTAAGAAACTTGTATTTGTCAGAAATATCTGATCTTGATCTCATCCAATGAAACAAATAGATCAGATATATAACTGCACAGCTTCCCACTTTTACGTTTACCGATGAGCATTCTGCCCTTGGCAACATAAGTAGTCATTTTCAGCGCAATGGGTTTCTGGTAGTAGAACTGACTCCATGCACTGCTGATTTTCATTTCTTCAGATTTGTATAGTCTAGTGAATTCTTAGTGGACCAGTACACTGTTGATATTTTTCAAACAAATAACTAAATGAAGGTGGGTGCAAATGATTGACAATTTTACTCTGATCATTCTTGTCTTTGCTTTTTAAAATAGTCAATAAAATACGAATTCCTCTTTGCTCGGAGAACACTGTGATGAAATTAATGAAAATGTGTATCTGAAAGTGATGTCTGACTCTTTCCCAAAAAGACCACCACTAATTACATATGTTCCTTACAAGTTTGTTCATGTAAATCAGGTACATGTAAGTTCTGAGCCTCTGTTCCATTAAATTTAAAAGCATTGGTACAAATAGCACAATTAGAGTTTTGCCTTCTGCTTTTTTGAACACAGATTCATTTTACAGGGATCGATCGTGCAACTGGCTTCACACTGGCAGACCCTCTACCCATGTAGGACCCCATTGACTTTGATGGGCACATGAATCTACCCTGTACAGCCAGTTGGACAGTCAAGGCATAATATTGAAATGTTGTTGACTATTTTAGAAAAAAAAAAAGCATCTAATCTGAAAAAAGTGCATCTAAATTAAGCACACAAAATGTGCAGTGGCCTGCTTAGTTACCCATGCTGCAGGTGTAATTCCACATATTGCACCTGCTAAAAGGCAGGCATACATTTTATTAACTAAATGGCCATTTGCTTTTTGGGTTCAAAGGCTGAAATCTATTACATTTATTTTGTTTTCTTAGCTACAAACTAAAAGATTGAACCTGTCTGCCCCCCACATGTGGAGCTACCATTGGCCAAAATGGTGGTTCCAAAAAAAGGAGAGCTTGTAGCATCAGTCCTTGAAACACAGACAAGGTCACATTTTCTTCCTCACCTAACCTTCCTGGTGCAGTATCCAAGGATAAGTCATGCTATTAGCTTCATACCTAATAATAGCATATAAGATGAAATATGCATTCAACTCCAGTAAAGCATTAATCAATTTACATTATAAAATTCTCATCAAAATGGTCCCAGTTTAGTAAATGAGGATTTAATATTTTTTTCAGATCACCTAAACCAAAATATACTAAAGTTAATATTAAGTAAATTACTTGTAGAGTGGATAAAGACATTGCAATGTACATGAATTATGTAAAACAAATGGTAATTTTTCAAAAAAAAAATTGTTTCTGAAATACAGAGCTCCAGAAGTAGGTTGACAGAATTGAATATTCTTATATTCTTATAAATTAGAGCAGGAATCAGCAACCTTTGGCATGTGGCCCATCAGGGAAATCTGCTGGTGGGCCAGGAAGGTTTGTTTACCTGCAGCATCCACAGGTTTGGCCAATCGCCGCTTCCACTGGCCGCAGTTCACCATTCCAGGCCAACGGGGGCTGTGGGAAGCGGCGGCCAGCACATCCCTCAGCCCACACGGCTTCCCACAGCCCCCATTGGCCTGGAATGGTGAACTGTGGCCAGTGGGAGCTGTGATTGGCTGAACCTGCGGATGCTGCAGGTAAACAAACTGTCCCGGCCCGCCAGTGGATTTTCCTGAGTGGCCACATGCCAAAGGTTCCCAATCCCTGAATTAGAGCATCTGAGTGTTCACTTTTCCTCTCCATAATTAGTTTTGTAGAACTTAATAAAATCTACCCACGTCCAAATTTTGTTTAGGAACCTGTGACCTCACACTGCCTTGTTGATTAATATCAAAGCTTTCTTTAGCAATATGTTATTAAAAATTAAGATTTTATACACAAAGAGCTAGTTATATCCATATAAATTCAGAAGTGTGAAAAGATAGGCCTTAGATTTTTCTGAATGATATTTCATGTTACAAAAATTCACAGGTAGCATCTGAAAATCCATATCAGTACAAATAGGCCTTCTGGATTTACTACTATTTTAATAAAATAAAGTATTAAAAATAGGGATGAACAGAGGTCACAAGATCCTCAAAAATTAAAAAAAACAGTAAAATTACCACATTTTCTCCCAAGTTTTTAAATGTAAATTAAAAATATGGCATATAAATAAAAGCTATACTCTTTAGTTCAATTTTAGATGTTGCATATGTGCATATACATATTTATTATGCAAAGCAGATGATAGCACCCAAGAAATCTGCAAGAAATACCAGACCCAGCTACAGTTAATTACCATATTTGTGCAAACGGTCAGTACGTGACAAGTTAACGTTAGATGTTTCAAAACTGGATGAATTCAAGTTCCAGGAGTTAAAATCGTAATCAGTAGTAAATCCACAAAAAATAATATTGATCTAGCAATTTACAGATGTTACCAGACCAACTTGTCAAGTGTAAACATCTTCAGGAAAGGACATTTCTATAGAGACATTTCTAGACTTCTGACTTTGAACTGATACACAGTTTTGACTTTTAAAAATCAGATTTAGCTGTAGAAGATTAATTTGTTTCCCATTACAGTTTCTCATTTCTTCTTCATCCATAAAATTAACTGCAGTGAACTTCCAGGAGTAAAAAGCTGTCTTTTTTCAGGCTCGTATAAGAGGAGAAATAGTCACTTGTCCTGAAAGCTGGCTACAATTAAACATATTAAAGACAAATTACAAGCTGTATGTGTAACACGTCCAGTGCTCTGTTATGAACCATTGTTACAGAAATACTATACTAGGGTATAAAGGATATCAGAACTGCCCTTCGTTGGATCACGAAAAAGCTTAAAAACTGATTTGATTATAACAAAAATTATTAAATTAAATGGAAAAATACAATATTTACCTTTTCCAACTGCGCATTTTTTTTTGATTTGTACAAAAACTCCCCCACTGCCACAAAGACAGAAAGCACCAATCCAGCTGCCAGAACGATGAAAATGCCACCAATATTTTGAACTCCCAGAGCACTGGCCTCTTTACTTTCCTCTTCTGGACAACCATTGCCTCTCCACCACTTCTCCTTCATCATGTGGAGCTTGCCTTCCTCTTGCAGCTGAAGAATTGCTATAGTGATCTTGTCTCTGTATGGAGACCCTGTAAGAGAGTAGATGAAACATGCAGTGCACCAAAGTATATTTTCAGGAGAGTAAAAATGTTTTAGTTCAGTCCTGAGAAGGATATAACAAAAATCCTTGTCATGATTCACAATTTTTAGGCTTGTTTTGGTGGATGAAAGAGGATGTTTTTTTAAATCTTTTTCAGATCACAGAATATGAGCCAGCTTTCAAAGTTAGTGCATATAACTGAACACACATTTTTGTACATAATTAACTTATTCATGAAAATACCTAATTTGTGTGCAGAAATCCAGTAATTGTGTGTGCACCTGGCTGGTTAAGTAGCTAATTAATCTTGTACTCTTTTAAACACCTGCTCTGTGCATGTATACCAGTATCTGAGTGTACACGCAAAAGCAGTTACTACAATTCCTTTAACTAAGTAACATGATTTTGCAAATTAAAACATTCTAAACATCACTCATTTGTATGACTTCAGAAATCTTAAACCCTGTACAACCAACCAAATGTAGGATTAGTTACATGTTACTTAGTTTAACCTATCTAAAACTACAGACTATTTGCTTCTAGACCCCATACAAGAACTGATACAAGAAACAGCATTTCAGTTGCTTACTTTTCATAGCTAGAACAACAGCTTTCAAGGTCATACCACCACTGTATGCAAAAATTTAAGATCACAAATAGCTAAACAGCTATGACATTTACCAGACACTTATCAACCTCACATCAAGTGTGCAGAGTAAGATGAATACCAAGCTGTGAAACAACAGGAGCAGAGTTAAAAATGTTTGGATATGTTAACTCTGCATTTATGTATTTTTCAATTTTTATTTTTATTTTACTCCAGCATCTCCTGTTTCCAATTCTTTATGATTTCTGGAAACTTAAGCATTGATCCTCAGTTGGTGTAAACAGTAGCTCCATTTAAATCAATGGAGTTTTGAAAATTTAAGTCTAAGAGTTTGGGAAGGTTGTTTGTTTGTTTATTTCCCTTAAGTTACTAATACACATTTACAACCTTAACTATACTTTAACAAAGTTTTTTTGTCCCTGCATGAAAACAGGTGTAGCAAATAGCCACAATTACTAAAGATGTTACAAGAGTCTCAACCCTATCACAAATAAACAAATATTATAAATACTACAATATCACCACAGAGTGAGTCCATTACAGATGTGCAGAACTTTGAGGTCTCAGAAATGTTGATTGCTACTTTGTGTCAAAAGAATCATGCTCATTGACAGATTTTCCAATCGACTAAATGATAGGAACATTCAAATACCTTCAGAAATGTTTCTTTATTAACTAAATGTTAATGGAAAACTGCAGACTTAAGGACATGATGGGCAGAGGCATATCTTAATGACTTGACATTAGCCCTCTCTATTTGTAGGGTAGATAGTAGGATAAAAAATCCCACTGCTGTATTTATATATAGTCAATATTCCTTTGTGCTATGTATGTTGTACCCGTTACGTACCAGCTTATGTTCCTTTATATGATTTTGGTGCATAGTATTAATTTCAAAGTTAAGCTCACTATAGTTAGCTTTTGTTAACAGTCCCTAGATTTGAACTCACACCCCAAGGGAAAAAGGGAGCTAAGGTGGCTGCATGCCACCCTTGTACCCTCCCAAAGTAGGATGCTCCAGTGGCTGTGGCCCTGGGGGCCTAAGTTACAGCAGCCTCTCATCACTGTTCTGTGGGTTACAGTATTGCCTGGAATCTCTGCAGCTTTGTGCACTGCAGCCCCAGCTGGATCACCCTTCCTCCTCCCAGTTCCACCCCACTCCCTGCAACAGGATTGGCAAGGGTATCCAGCCCTTTTACCTGGCACAAAGAGGACAGGGTGGAGCTGAGGACTTACTCCAGCGTGTGGGGCAGAATATTCTCTTAATATTTGGTCCTCAGGTGTCAAAGCTGCTTCCCCTATTGGCCTGACATATTCTGGGTCCTTCAGAGCCCAGCATAAAGTCCCTCTTTCTTCTCCAGGCTGTGACCAAATGGGAACAATTTATTTTGGAGGGGGGTGGGGAGAGAATGTATTTTGCTGTAGGCAAGCTTCTTTACCTTTTTATGAGAGGTTGTTTTTATTCTTTGTACAGTGCCCAGAGACTTTGCAATGAACACTTTACAAATTAAATTAATTAATAAATAATGTGAACAGAGGAGGCTTTTATTTTTGGAAATGCAGGGACTAAATCCCTGACATCATTCATAAGTGCCCTCTGTGTTGAGACTTCGTGTCATGTTTAGGGATATAACAGAGCCACCTGTTTTATTGTTATTTTTTCTGGATGTCCAAATAAAAGGCTTTAAATTAAACTGGATACAAACATGAATCTGAGTAAAAGAAAAGATTTTTAACTCAAAAGTTATGACACATCTTGTGAGAGGTGGTGTTGGTATGTATATCACCCCATAAAGGGGACTCTCTCTTCATGAGCTCTCTCTCTAGAGTGCCCCTCAAAATTATAGTAAATATTGGTTGCAGTTTTTTATGGCATCTTTTTTGGTTGATTAATAAACTGTAGGGCTTATCTACACTGTGCATTGGTCCATACCAGACAGGTGTAAATTCTAATGTGCACCAGTGTGTTGTGCAATAACAAGTGCTGGCGTCCATGTGTGAAAAGGGGCATTGGTGCACACACAAGAATATTTATTATTCAGTATTTGTCATTTAAAATATTTCAGTTGCCCACCTGAAGAGCAAAAGCATCACCATGATCTTGGGTGCCACTGTTATTAAAGTGAAATGTTTGCAAAATATCTAGAAGTTGAAATGTTTTAGTGTATACCACACCCAAAATTATCAGTACCGATGGCAGAAAACTTCATGAACAATTCACAAAATACTACATTTGTTGACTAATTTATTTGTAACACACTACTTAAACAGCTCTAATAATGTGATATTTGAAAAAAAAATCTTAACTTTCAAAACCAATTTTTGTTCATGTGGATTTCACTGATTTAATGCTATGTGGTAAGGGGGGGAAAGTGGGTACAAAAGAAGCTTGCATAGGAAGACATATGCAGATTTGAGCGGTTGTTTGCTCCCAGGTTTCTGCTGGGAGAAGCTGGATTGCAAGACCCAGCAGCAAAAAGTCCACCCAGAAGGAATTGCAATGGCAGAAAATATCACAATCCCAGGCATGGTGGGCTCTGAAGATGGCCAAGTAGCTTAGAAAGAGGTCAGGGCTGACCTGGTAGAAGATATGGAAAACACAGCCAGCGGTTACAGTCTGTAAACACTCTAAACATTCTAGTGAGTCAATCCTTGCATGTGGAATTCTGGCAGTATGGGTGTAATTTTCATAGCCCTCAAAACAAATGGAGAATGAAATCAAACCCCAGGAGTTTTAAACTTCCATCTGTACTGTAGGAAGCAAGCATGCTTTTTAAATCATTAACATTATTCAACAGAATTAATCTTGAAGGGTGGGAAATCCCTTGCATTTTCTGAAATTTTAAAGCTTTACGACTGTGCCTAAAAATGCAACAGTAATATAAAGAATAAGAAGAGAATGAAAACTAAGAGTCAAATTCTTCCAGATTCCCAGGCATGATAGAAAGATCTTTCATTCTGTAGTGAAAAAGGAGTGTGAACTGCAAACATCAACCATCAATGGAAAGAGAAATAGTGGGGGAAAAACATTTTCGGATAGGCACACATAGAATAAAAGAGTATGTCTATATGAAATGTGAGGATACAGTCTTCTATAAAAATATCCTATAAGGGAAGAATGGGAGAAGAAACAAAGTTCCAAAGAACATAGGCACAAGCATAGATTTTAAAGCAGAAAGCCACAACTGTATTAACATTAAACTTTAATGAGGGTGGGCTAAATTCTCCCTCTCCCCTCCAGATAATCAGGTATTTATTTTCATTCAGTATGGTGTTAAATGGCCTCCAGGCCAAATAATCAAGATTCAGTGCTGCCCCCTAGAATTCAGACCATCTATCAATCCTCTCGCCTGCCCCCTGTGAGGGGGAATGAGAGTACACATAAAAGGTATCTCAGTCTGAGGAGACTTAGGGTATGTCTACACAGCAACTAAACGCCCTTGGCTGGGTTGTGCCAGCTGACTCGGGCTCAGGCTGTGGAGCTGTTTCATTGCTGTGTACACGTCTGGGCTCAGGCTGGAGCTGTGCTCTAGGACCCTGCAAGGTTGGAGGGTCCCAGAGCTTGGCTGCAGCCTGAGCCCAAATACCTACATTGCAATTAAACAGCCCAGCAGTCCAAGCCTTGCGAGCTCGAGTCAGCTGGCACAGGAAAGTGGAGGGGGAGCGGTTCTTTGCTGTATAGACATACCCGTAGGTGTCCCTTTCTTCCTCCAGGCTAATTGGGTTTAACAGGTATCTACAAGGTCTTGTGTTTTCAGCTGGAGCTGGCCCCCTAGAGCCTCTCACCTGCACTGGCCACAAGGTGCAACAAAATTACAAACTTAACTTGTAAAATTACAACTTTAAAATCCTGTCCTTTATCCTTATGAATCCCAAACTGGGCCACCATGGTGAAAAAACCCACCAGACACCTTGTCTTGGGGAAACATTTCTTCCTCATCCCCAAAACTGGAGAATGGTCAGATCCACATCTTGAGAACACAGTTCAAACTCTTTCTCTCTCTGTTATAGGGCAGGGCAGCAGCAACTGTATCACTATGTCTGCTGCATGCTCTGAGGATTTCACATACAGGAAGTGTGGGCTCAACAGACAACCCATTTTTGCTTTCCTCCACCACAGCCTAGCTAATGTCAGCAGCGGGAAGCAGAGACACTGTCCTCTGCTCCTGCTCTGCTCCCAGGGAAGGTGGGAGAAGGCCCCAGAGCATCAAAGTCTGACCTGTCTTCTCCCTTCTCTCAGGATCCTGGGGTTGTCTTTTCCCTGCCAGTCCAATCATACACCTCTATTCTGAAATATGGGTGATATGGTATAAGGAAACATGCTTGTAAAGTGTGTGTTGTTTCCCCCTCTAGTGGTTGTCCCACAGAATGGATAGTAACCT